GATAAGCTGAATGCGGATGGAGGATGTTTGAGCGCAGTTACGGCTAGAGTTCGTGTGGGATGGATGAAATTTAGGGAACTGGGTGGGGTATTGTGTGGAAAGAAATGGTCAGTGAAGATGAAAGGGAGGGTATATAAAGCATGTGTGAGAGCAGCGATGATATATGGTGGTGAAACTTGGGTGTTGAGGAGAGAGGAGGAAAGTGTACTGCAGAGGGCTGAAAGAGCTATGGTGAGGATGATGTGTGGGGTTAAAGTGAAGGATAGGAGGAGTAGTACAGAGCTGATGTCAATGATGGGACTGAATGAGGACATTGTGACATTGATAAGGAGATCGAGATTGCGGTGGTATGGACATGTGTTGAGAAGGGATGAAAGGGTCGGGATTAGGCGAGCGTTGGAGTTCGAGGTTGAAGGAGTGGTAGGAAGGGGTCGTCCGCGATTGGGATGGAGAGAGCAGGTGGAGAAGGACAGGGTGAAAGCGGGGTTGCGTGATACTGAGGCGAGTGACAGATGTGGATGGAGTCGAGGGGTATTTCGGTTTCATCATAGGTAGCCAAACGGCAACCCCCGATCTCGGGAAAAATGCCGTCTAAACGTGTGTTGTTATACTAATGGTATTACAAATCACTATAAATTTTGTTTACAGACATATTTTTTTGCTTTCCAGAAATTTAGACTGTCATAATTTTTTTTTGCATTAATAATTGTATAACGATAATAATGATAATGATTTTGCATAAAAATTTTGATGATTATTGCATAACGATAATACTGTTAATGGATTTTCATGACAATTTTGATTTTTGCATTGAAAATGAAAGTATAGGTAAACGTTACAATTTTCCTTCGAATAATCTTTCTATTTTGAATTCGTTTTTGGCCAATTATGATTGGACATATATTTTTATTGTCGATAATGTGAATATTGCATCTGATTTTTTCCATATGATACTTAATTATGCATTTGAATGTTTTTGTACTAAAATTGTTTGTAACAAGCACCCTAGATTAAACAATCCTGGATGACATCCAGCCTTTTACGCCTTTCTAAAATTAAGAATAACATGCATAAAAGATATCTTAAAAACCCTTATATAGTGAATAAAAATGTTTATCTTCATCATAAAAAAATTTTCTCTAAGCAAGTAATATTTGCTAAAAAGTCATATTACTACAATCAATTTTTAATTTTTTTAAATAAATCCATTAAAAATACTGGAATTTGATCAGATAAACCTTGAAGCTATGTAGCGATTCTACTAAATTAATTATATCAAAGATGAATGCACTAACAATTTAATTTCTAATGAAAAGGTTGCTTGTAATAAGTTTAATAGATTCTTCAAGGATGCTGTGAGTGAGTTTATTTCAAATGATTTATCCCTAGAGTCACTTTGGAAATATTTGGGAACATCCCAATCCAAGTCTTTTTTTATGATTGAAAGTGATGAAAGTGAAATTGACAACCTTGTCAAAAACTTCAGAATTTCTAAAAGTAGTGGCAGCGAAAAATTGGAATTTTTGTCAGAGAACCGCTAGCCCAAGAAGTACTGGATATTAAAAGGATTAATTCACGTCTCATGTGGATCAAGCTTCGCATAGAAAAGCAAACAATGATTATTTTTTCTGCATACGCACAACAGACAGGCGAATCAGAAGAGATGAAAAATGACTTCTGGACTGCATTCTCTGACCTCATCTCAACAATACCAAAATCTGAAACAATCCTGATTGGAGGCGATCTCAATGGCCACGTTGGAGAGAAAACAGATGGTTTTGACAACGTACATGGCGGTTTTGGCTATGGAATACGGAATGAAGATGGCAAAAATGAAGAGTTTGCTGAAAGTTACGGGTTTTGTTTACTGAACACATATTTTAGAAAGAGGTTAGAACATCTCATAACATACAAAAGTGGACCATCAGCCACGCAAATTGATTTCTTTGCTATCAAGCAACAACACCGAAGGCTATTCAAAAATGTCAAAGTTAGTTATACCTGGCAAATAATGTGTCGCCCAACATAGACTCCTTGTGGCAGACCTGGTTGTCGAACTGTCAAAACATAAGTCTAAACAAATGCCTCGGAGAATCAAAACGTGGAAGCTGAAAAGCAATATTCATAGAGAAAAATTTCAACAGATTGTCTCCACACAGTTAGACCACCAATCGCAAGCCAGTACAGATTGGAGTACATACAAAACCATTTTAATGAACGCTGCAACTACAGTTTGTGGGAAAACTGGTACAAAACGTCAGCATGAACGTGACACTTGGTGGTGGAATGCAATAGCTGAAAAGAAAGTTGCATACAAGCAATGGCAAAAACCAAAGTCTGTTGATGACCATAAAATTTTCCGTGAGAAGAACAACTATGCAAGACGTCAAGTTGCACTGGCTCGGACAGATCAGTGCAGAGAGTGGCTCACTAAAAGCAAAAGTGAACAAATGAAATCTCTGTATCGTATAGCAAAACAAGCAAAGCGTACGAAAAAAGACATAGTTGGTGCCTCATGTATCAAAAACGACAAAAATGAACTAGTTCTTGAACAAGATGAGATCAAGCTACAGTGGAGAGAATACTTCAACCGTCTGTTAAACGAAACAAATCCCATCAATGTTAACTTTGACGCTCCACCAATCGAAGGTCCGATTAAGACATCACTGTAGAGGAGCTTACAGAAGCTCTGAAAGCTATGAAGGATGGAAAGGCAGCAGGGCCCTCTGGACTCACAAATGACATTATCAAAGCATCAGGTACTGCAGGTATCCAAACGTTACTACAACTTTGCCGTGAAATCTGGAGAAATTGCTCAATGCCGACTGAATGGAACTATAGCATGACAGTTCCGCTATACAAAGGCAAAGGTGATCCATTGAACTGTTCATCATATCGGGGTATACGTCTGTTAGAACACTCCCTGAAAATTGTCAAAAAAATCATTGAGAGAAGATTAACGTCATGCATCACAATCAGAAATTATCAATTTGGTTTCCTAGTGGGGAAATCAACAATTGATGCAATTCACATCCTTCGGCAACTGCAAGAGAAGTACCTCGCAAAGCATCAACAACTATCACACATTTTTGTAGACCTTGAAAAAGCATTTGATCGAGTTCCCCGTGAAGCAATCAGGTGGAGTCTACGTCGACAACTCATTCCAGAATATCTTGTTCGACTTGTGATGGAAATGTATACGAATACTAAGACTCTTGTCAGCACAACGGTTGGAAACACAGATTGTCAGGGTTCAGTGTAGCGCTATACGATTTAAATTGATAACCAGTAAACAAGTGAATAATATTTCGTGGCCGTGGTGATTTCAAGTTAAAAAGTGTTTAAAAAAAAGTTGGTTAAAAATATTTAACTGTCCTTCAAGGACAAATAATTATTAATAACTCAGTTTGCGTGAGTTATTAATAACTTGTCGCAATTTCTGACCATGGGAGTGATAGCGGCCAAACGTCTATAAAAGCGTTGGGAAGGTACAGTCAACAGGCTCAGAATTTCGGTTCAGGAATTATTATCGTCGCGAGAGTTATCGTGGAGTCTCGGAAGTATATTACGTGAGACGTGGAGACTCGAACTTGTAAT